CATGTACCCTTATAGTAGATACTAAGGCCTAATTAAAGTACCTATATAGGGACCGCCTTAAGGCTTAAGTATCTACTATAAGGGTACATGGAGCCTTGGGGTTTATAATTAGTTGTATGGATGCGGGTGTCCACGAATGTAAGCAATGCAGATATACGAAACCCGTATATATGATTAGTACCGTGTTGCATTGAACAGGGTTGCAAGTCTAGGATCGAGTGCTCGCTGTCTGCACGTGTCAATACTTACACTATTGCAAATGTCACTACGACATTCGTTAGCTCATCATGCTCGGATCTCAAAATTTGCGTGTGCCGATACCCAGCGGTCCTCATCTGAGTGCTCCGGGCTGTCGGGTGGTCTCGGAACCTGGGCGATGTAGGGGGGTCGCAGCGAACATCTTCAGCGACCAGGATAGCACTTTGAGGCCTAGGCATCATCGGGCCCGAGGAATTCTGACTCATCCCCTGGACTTGCAAGCGGTCTTGGGACCTGGGTAGCATCCGGAAGTTTGCAGCCAACAACCTCCAGCAATTCAGCAGCTAGGATATCGATTTGAGGCCTAGACATCCTCCGGGCCGAGGTGCTCATGCTCGCAGACCTAGGTTGAATCCAAATGGGGAGGGCGGGGGGGGGGGGGGGTAATTTGCAGATGATGGCATGACATAATTAGCGCTTTTACACTCCTACCGACTGCAAGACTAGCAGAGCTTTGCAACACGAAATGAGACATAGTCGTTACTGCAAACGTGCCAGGATTCAGGCTCCGACAGCCGGCTCGTGCTCATGCTCCCCCTCCTGTACATGTGCAGTATCACACGAAAAAAACACACGACATGTACACCATGCAACCTGCCTGATATGGACGCTTATTGTAGCAGGCACATAAACTAGCCCATCGAGCTCTGGCCACACGGATTGGTACTTGTGTGCATGACATACAGTACTGATTTGAGTTTGTTAATTGCATACCATTGCAGCACACGTGCGAGTGTCTTGAGTCGAGGGCTCGAAACTGCGAGAAGGAACCTTATCAGATGGTAGTAACATCATAACATGTTTTGGGAAGCTATATAATCTCTTCAATTTTAGAGTGTAGAAACACACACATATATATATATATATATACATTGGCTGCTATATATTTATATACACACATGTATACACACCCATCCTAGAGCTGTACCAGGATGTGTTTCATACATTGGGAATTTGATATGCGATAGCTGCTGATAATACATGTGTGTACACATGTAGATGTATGGTTACATGACACAGTCACAGGCTCCGATGCCTCATCCGCCTGGAGATGGGAGCCCAACACGAGTGTCTTTTGAGAATCGTCGTCCGAGTCATCCGTCTCAACTTCGATAATTTGGACCTGAAGGTCAGGCAAGAATACGATCATTCTTTCTAGTCTGCAATAGAGTTCCATGCACGGAGGCATCACATGCATTGATTGTCGACATGTTACTATAGCTATAGATTTCACAGTACAGTGCACTGGCCATTCGTCCTACATGCATGCACACACACACACACACCGACCTCTTCGCACAGCCCGCATCCGACCAAACTCGCATCACCGTCCTGTCCGATGCGATGGGTCTATATAGATATGTAAAATGGCAGTTGCTAGTCGTATTGCAGCAGTGGAATATATGTATGATATCTATAGAGAGAGAGAGAGAGAGAGAGAGAGAGAGAGAGAGAGAGAGAGAGAGAGAGAGAGAGAGAGAGAGAGAGAGAGAGAGAGAGAGAGAGAGAGAGGGAGAGAGATCCATCAGCTCAGCTATATAAGTCAGCGAACGATAGCCGTAGGTGTTGCAACGAACTCGGGGGGGCGGAGGGGGGGGGGGGCTATATATACATGCACACATAACAACTAGAATGACGGACCTAGCTGTCACTAATAACTTACCCGCAGCAGCTGCATGGCATTGCTGTAGTCGTTCGTATAGCCCGAGGCCCTATTATTCTTGTTTCATACATGCGGGCACACATGATTCCATCATACAATTGTGAGCCATGGATAAAGACTAGGCATGTTGAAGCGAGTGACCGCTTCGCTACGTGTATGGCCAGCAGCCCCTGATATTCGCTATCTGTTTTTAATAACCCCCCCCCCCACCCCCCCAATTAAAAAAACCATAAAAGCCTGCTCTGGATCCGTGGCCGGCTCATCGTGCTCGCACACTGCTGCCTTGCACATGTTGGGATAGGGAACCGAAGGGAAATAGATAGCAAGATAATCTTGTACAGCCAACCCTTCAGTGTAACATTCATGATACCTTTGCGATTATAACTGCTACTACGTACATACTACTATACTACTACTGCTACTACTAGTAGTACTACGACGATTATGCTACTAACAACCATAGTGATATTACGACGGCATCGAAGTTGAGTAATTTTTGAATTGCGCAGGCTTAAGACTAGGCATGTTGAACCGAGTGACTGCAACGAAATCCACGTGTATGGCCAGCAACCCCTGATTTGTTTAATGAATTAATTCACCCCCGCCGCCACCCCCCGAATGAAACCATATAAGCCTGCTCTGGATTCGTGGCCGGCTCATCGTGCTCGCACATTGCTGCCTTGCACATATTGGGATAGGGAACCGAAGGGACATAGTCAGCTAGGGAACCTATGCAGCCGACCAATCTAATGTAACATCATGATACTTTCCCATCACATCAATACTGGTGCAAGCTCTTACTGAAACATGACATATCAGATGCTTTTGCACGGCTTGACAGACCTATTCCAGCATACCACAGATGCCTAAAGCTTGACTGCATGCATGCATGCTAGCGCTTTGCCCAATGCAATAACCGGATATGCTTTATGAGTGCAAGCTGTGGGCCTGCTCCGGATTCGTGGCTGGCTCATTGTCCCCATTCGTCACTCCAGCCTTCATTTCGCAGGGGTCGGAGACTATGCAGCTAAAGCTTTATTTTAGAAGGGCTTGCATATGAATATTGGGCTCGCTCTGGATCAGATCAGCCATGGTTGTCCTCCACTGACGAATTGCTAGCAGCAGATCGATCGGGAGGGGGGGGGGAAGGGGCTAGGTGTCATATCACATTTTACCCCAGCTGCCTAAAGCGGCGTGCTCACGATTTCTTCTGCTACTCTTAATGCATTCGCGGGCCTGCTCTGCATCCACGGCTGGCTCATCGTGACCATTCACCACTGCAGCCTTGTGCATGTTGGCAAAGAAACTAGCTACAGCATAAGCTGAAGGTCTACATTCTGGGATCTTCCAGGTCAACGAAAATGCGATATACTTATTAATTATTTTTATGCCTAAAGAAATGTAGCTATAGATCCAGAATGATGACATTCGCAGTGGCTTTAGTTATAACTGATCATGATGTTACTCTGCTCGCATGAAAAGAGGCTACATCAAATTTATCATGGACTGTTTGGTGTTAGCACCGGCTTCCCACCAATGCTTTAGCAATCGCAAAGATGTTTTACTACTGCATGTCAAATCCTTTTGGGGTGTTGTATTATGATATTATGGGGCCGTATTCGAAAACATGCGTGTATACCTATTTTTGCATAATTATAATGGTACAAAGAACGTCACTGGTACTGGCAATTTTAATGCCTATTCGATCTTGGCGAGTTCGTATAATAATATTACAAATTCTTTAACTGATATATATATATATAATAATTTATTTATTGATTTATTTTTTATTTATTTATATATGTATGGTGATCATAGAAACCTTTAATATTAAGCCCTGAGGTCATAATAATAACCTATAGTACTAGCTTTAAAAGTGGCCCGTGACCCTACTCATAGAACCTGTGTTAAACCAATTGGTAACCCGATTCCATTCATCATATATATATATATAGACACATGTACAATGCAATAGATACATGTATGATTCAGGTACCCGAACCTATAATATAACCTACAGCATAGAGCTATTGCTATCGGACACTCTGGGCATCAGACCCGCACCGCCGGAATCGCTCCATCATGATCGCCGCCGCCAGCCTGCAACACTCCGATTTCGTGAATATGCACGGCGCTTGAAAACATTCTGACAATACACGTGGTCTGCGTGTATGTGTATACATGTGTGCATGGGACATATATATATATATATACATAGTACAGTGTGCATGCTGTGTAGCTTAAGCACTCCGGGATCCTATAGCTATCATGATCATCGCAATACCCAAAACCGAAACTGAACACCTGAGCATCGGCACCTCGATCTCCATGTCGCAATCGGAGCGGATTTCGATCGCCTTGACGAGGGGTTCGAGGTAAGGGGCGTTGCATTTTGCCATATTTTAATGGGTACAGGACTTCCGAAATCGCATTGCTGGGGTCGAGATTTTAAGGGCACTACTTTAAAAGGTTGTCGGGATGTAAATATATTCTAGCTACAGGTATACACATTCCGAGTACATAGGCTGAATAGATTTATGCTCAGTGTTTCGCTTGCAACCGATCAAGAATGAAGCCTACAGTAAATTAAAACGCCCTGACCGGGCCAGCTTCGCTAGCAATCCCACGATAATATTACGAAAACACGGCAGCCATGCACAAGCCTCGCTATATTACCTGGCAGTTTATATTATAAGTCAGAGTACTAGTACCCAACCCTTTTTACATTATATACGAGGAACCCATAATACTAGCTAACACGTAGATCTAACTATGCTATGGTCGTTTATACTTATAAGACCGATTACACACAGGTCGGGCATTGGCCATAGCCCCAGCGGGGGCACTGATTATCTATCTAGCCAAGATCCTGTATACATAGTATAACGAACATTCGGCAGTGAGCCTCATCGTACATATCATCGATCAACTTCTGGAGCTCCTGCTCGTCCACTTCCTGGATAGTTGCAGCATAGTTTGGGCAATATATAACAGCGTATGATACGGCTAGCAACCGCCGATACTAAATTTGGTCATTCGACTCGGCATGTTGTGTATATACATGGTCAATGTATGGGTACTATATTGTGCATAATTGCAATGTGGGTTCGTCCGCCGTGTTGCCGTGGGCCGGCATCTCACGTTCGTTGCTCGAGGCAACATCTTCGCCGCTCGCCTCGAGATCGTCGTCGTCGGAGTCGAGCAGCTCGATGGTCGAATCTGAAGCCGACGTCGCCGATGACGACGTCGACGTCTGAGACTCCTCACCAGCACCCTCGATCGCGATCGCACTCTTCGACGACCGGCGGTTTGGCCGCTCAGGCACAACCGTACGGTTAATCCTCTGGTGCAAGGCTTTGAGGACCATCATCTCCTCACTCCTGTGCACAATGAGTCAAAATTGAATGGTACCCGGTATCCTATCGCCATAAATGTGTGCGGAAGCTCCTCGCATACGGAGTACGATTCAGGGCCGTAATGACATAGGCCGCGAGCTTGCGGAGATTTGACCCCTCTAAAACTGCCCAGTCCTGCCGGGCTCCAATACTGGTACGGTATGCATGATCTTGCAAAGCATGACATGTGATCAAGAGCTCGACCAGCCTTGATTTCGCCCTTCCGGCCACGCCTTTTGATTTCCGAGGAAGACCAGAAACCATAGACGCAGCTCAGATAAAGAACTGCGACCTCGACATGCAATAGGTGTTGCTAGGCTCACCCGGCCTAGCTACGGTCGACCATGTCATGATCATCGCTCGGTATCTTGGATGCGGACTCGGTGAGCCACAAATGGCAAGAGGTCCTTCGCATTCATGACTCCAGCAGTCAGGTTCACCACGTAGACCTTGAGGATCTCGTAGTTGTGCTCGGGGCGACTCACATCGTCACCAGTCGCCTTTGTGCCGTCGATGCAGCAAAGGCGCCGCTCCTCAAATGAATCGACATGCAATTGCAGGTATCCGATCCTGTTCTAGATGCCAGCTGCCGGCCTTGTCATCCCGCAGCTGATCCAACCGGCTTTCGATAGCCGGGCGGATAGCATTGGCGATCTTGAGGCTGTCAGCCTCGTGCGTGTGAGTGTGTATATACATATATATATGTGTATGCACACCATGATCGATGATTGCAGACGAGTCTCGTCGACCTTGAAGCGCAAAGGCCGCAACACTTGCTTGCCGCCATCATATGCCTCCATTACTTTCATCTTGGCAGGACCATCCATGGAACCGGATCGCTCAGCCCGTTTCGAGTTCATGGCACAGGCACCACGAAAAACTGTTGCGACAGTTTTAAACAAAAAGTCCCCGAGCCCGTGCGAGCTGAATCTATGCCCAGATAGAGCTACGTGGAGCTGATCCATGAACTTAAAGCCCCAACCTCGAGCAGCTGGCTCGACAGTTCTAGATAGAGGAGCCGAACTTTTGCGAAGCCCCGACATTCGAGCTGCACAGCATATATGTGAAGCCCTGCTACAGCATGCATGTACATGCGCATGGCCCGAGCAAAAACTGCAGCACGGCAGCTGCGATCACTGGACCATGAGCAGTTCATGCACAGCACACAAAACTGCAACGTGCACAGCACGGCAGGACGGGAGGGTGCACCCTCCTCCACTTCGCGAGTGCGCTTTCGCTCGGCTGCACCCTTCAGCATCGCCCATCGACCAGACATGGTCACATAAAAAACTGTACTACCACACCCCTAGCCTATACACATATATATGTATACATATATAGCTATAGCACCTGATCTCTAGGCCAACATGTATTGATTATTATGGTACAGAGAGAGATAGATATATCAGCTATAGAGGCACCGATCGCGAGAGATCTGTGAGATCAGAGGGAATTATAACGCCGGCAAGCATAGACTAATGACCCTGGATCGCTATGTATATCACGGGATAGTGTGTGCGTATATATGTGTCACTTCAAAGGCAAAATGCCTGCGGATCGGCCGGAGTGCAGGGTATACGAATACGTGCACAGGCTTCAAAAGGCACCCGCATAGCAAGTAATATATACTATATATACACACGTATATACAAGTATATACGTATACATCGTATGTGTGCATGTACGTACATACCTGCGATCTCGATGGCTGGCGATTGCGCCACAAAAATCATGATAGCACATTTGCACGAAGCATGTTATGCATGATCCAGTGTGCAATGATGAGCGATGCAAATCCCAAGGATGGTCTGTTGATAGCTGCCTAGTCGTGTGTCATTATTTTCATGGAAAACCCATGTGGGCTCTGGGACGAAAGTGGGCTCTGGAGCAAAACTGGCTTATGTTGGCTCTCTGTGCACACACGGAGCCTTTGGGTCAACCCGAAACCCCAAACCCTAAACCCCAGACCCTCTTACTTATATCCTCCACTACTAAGTCCCATGATCCTTTAAGTAGAAGGTTTAGGAAGCAACTTGTTGAGCAGCAGCCGGGAGTCATGGGTTTAGCGTTTAGTTTTTAGGGTTTAGGGTTTTAGCCTTTCAAAAGGGAAAAGGAGGGACCCTTCATGGGGATCCCTGCCCCATAATGGGCTATAGAATGGGTATATAATAGCTAGATTAAGGGTATATACCTAGGGGTCCTTGTTGAGGGTCCCTCCTTTTACCCTTTGATCCTTGACCCTAGAATCCCTAGAACCCTCAACCTACATGGGTTTTGTTAGTGTTTTGTGCAAGTCATAACTTTTTTGTTTGGTTCAGTGGGGCTTGAGGTTAGAAGGATAGAAGGACAGCGTCAGTTTGCTGCTTCAAGGGGCTTGAAGGTGATGGTGACCCTAAACCCTAAACCCTAAACCCTAAACCTAGGACTAAAGCCTTAGACAGCATGGTCTTGGGGTCCAAAAATTTGAGAAGCACAGCCTTAGAACCTAACCTTAGGCGTACTGTAGTGGCCTAAATGATACCTATTCTTTTTTGGACCGGGCTCCTTATTTGTTAGCTATAGTATACTGGGCCCCAATACCCTATTCTAATCATTCATCACCCTTATAGTATCCCTTATCGTAGCCCTTTTAGACCCCTTGAGAGGGGATCCCTTAAAAGAAAGCCTTTTCGAATTCTTAAGGCCCCTATACTTAATTCCTTGTAGTAGCCCTTCTAGTAGCCCTTATGGACCCCTTTAGAAGAGAGCCCTTAAAAACGAAGCCCTAAGGCCCCTCTTTTAAACCCTGGGGTGCAACTCCTAAGGCCCTCTAAGCCTCAAACCTGAAACCCGTAGATGCCCAATACCTCCTTGGAGGATCATGGGACTTAGTAAGTAGGCTTTTAGGGGTCCTTTTTTCGGGGTCTATAGGTACTATAAGGGTTTAGGGTTTAGGGTCTACTTGGAGGATCATGGGACTTAGTAAGTAAGGTTATAAGTACCTTAATTGGGGGTTATAAGTATGGTTACCCTAGTTATAACCCTAGTTGCTAAGTCCCATGATCCTTTACCTAACCTTTAAATTTCTTGTTTTAAGGGCTCCCTTCTGAACGGGTCCATAAGGGATACTATAAGGGTAATTAGTGATTAGAGTAGGTTTTTTTTGCTCTTATGGTTGAGTAGGAATCGGAAAATTTAACCTTTTATTTCTGCGGCTTATTGGGGTAAGTAAGAACCCCAAAACCCAGGTACAGCCACATTTCCCCGGACAAGCTGAGCCAGATCGTCAAGGCCACTTTCCGATGGCCTTAGATTGGAAAACTACCCACATGAGTGCTTAAAACCTGGTTCTGGGTTCCCAGAGACTCCAATTTCCCTCAATTCAGGAATATACCTTAAACCATAGTAGGATCCCTCATATGATTTAAGGTATAATGCCTTAATTCCCTTATCCAGCCCTCTTTAGGGAACCCGAGAGACTTTGCACCCCAAACCAGGTACTACTCGCATGCTTGGTTTAGGGTTTAGGCTTTATCAGATGATTGGTTCAGGGTTTAGGGTTTGGGGTTTAGGGTTTAGAGTTTAGGGTTTGGGGTTTAGGGTTTGGGGTTCAGGGTTTAGGGTTTGGGGTTTAGAGTTTAGGGTATACTTACATGATCATGGGACTTAGTAAATAGGGTTATAAGTACCTTACTTGGGGTTATAAGTAATTACAAGTGCAGTTACCTTACTTATATCCTCCACTACTAAGTCCCATGATCCTTTAAGTAGGGTTTGTTTAGGGTTCAGGGAGTATTGGGGTAGGACGAGGACCCGAAGAGTCCTGCGCCTGTCAAAACCCAAAGGGTGCTGTTCGGATTAGGGTTTGCACTCCTTAAAGGGATCTATGGGGTTCCTTGAAGGGATCTATGGGGTTTACGATTTAGGGCTTACTTGGAGGGTCGGGGGATGTAGTAAGCATTTATTCTGTAGACTGAAAAAAAGTTAGGATCCCTTTAAGGGTACCTATGACTTTGATAACTACTATTACCTACTTAGCTTACTCTGTCCCTAAACCCTAAACCCCCCCCGACCCTCCGAGTAGGCTTTAGCGTTCTGGCTAGGTCTGCGGGTCGGGCTTTGTGGGTTTTGGGCTTCGGTTTCGGGGTAAAGGGTTTAGGATCGTAGGGTTTAGGGTTTAGGATTGTAGAGCTTAGGGTTTAGGATTGTAGCGTTTAGGGGTTAGGATTGTAGTGTTTTGGGGGTTTAGGATTGTAGGGCTTAGGGTTCAGGATCGTAGGCGTTGGGGTTTTAGGGCTTTGGGGTTTAGGCTGTTTTCGGGTTTAGGGTCTAGGTGTTTCATTTGCAGGTGCTCCCAAACAGCCCAAAGGCCTGAAGTAAGGTTTCAGGTACCCAGCATTGCCCTAAGGCTCCACAGGAGCTCCTTTTTAGGGTTCATACTTAGAATCCTATACTAGGATGCCCAGTAGTACTCTTATTCCTTTTTGTAGTCCTAGGGTCCTTATAAAGTTACCCAATACCAAAAAGAGAGGCCTTTTTATTCTTAGGTTACTGGGTATCCTAGTATAAGGTAGCCCCAAAACAGGAACTACTTTGGAGCCTCTGGGTGCACCCACTGTACTCGGAATAGTCTTGGGTATTGGATATTTGCGCACTCGCACCGTCCAGGTACGAACCCTATACAATCCGAAGAGTATACCCGAATCCCAGCCCTCTATGATGGTACTTAAAGGATCATGGGACTTAGTAAATAGCTTATAATTGGGGTTATAAGTCCCCTAAGTGGGGTTATCCTAGTTAGAACCTACTTATAACCTTACTTACTAAGTCCCATGAGCCTTCAAGTGCCACATCATGTTGGGGACCCAGTTTCTGTGAGGATTTTAGCAGGACAAAGTTGGTGTAAGAAGGTAAGTAATATGGATCCCGCAAACCTAAACCCGGACCGATACTACCTGTCGAGGGATCCTCATACTAAGGCGCGTAAGGGTGGTTTGATTTATCATCGGTGTACTCCGGACCCACATTTTGTAATACGCGGCATACCACACTATGGGCGATCAGTCTGCTGTCAAGGACACCATTGCGAAGGTGGCTGCGCAACTAGGGAGCCCCTCCTCTCAGCAAGGCAGCCCCGCCTGAGCCGGCTCCTCGCAGGCAGCGGCGGGAGGAGCGGCGGGCCCTGGAGGAGCGTCGGGCCCTGGAGCAGCGGCGGGAGGAGCGGCGGGAAAACCGCCGTCGAAACCAGGCTGGCGATTACTTCTGCAGACAGTGATGATGTTGAGGCAGCTGCAGCCATGGTTGTCGAGGGCGTACTCATTTTTGAGCATGAAGGAGGGCCCAGTTTTCCGTCGGCAAGACAGTTCGGGGAACTGGCTCAAAGTGGAGGCTGGGGAGTTGCCTCCTGGTGCAGTTGAAGCCAGTCTGGTGGACTCTGCGCAATGCACTGGCCTGACGCGGCCCGAGCACTTCATGAAGATGGCGCTTCAAGGTATTGAGCTCTCCGTACCTCTTGTGCTGGATGGCGCGACAGCCCAAGCCCTTAAGCCGTTAACCTGGGGTTTAGATTTCTTACCTAGGATGCCCAGTAGTACTCTTATTCCTTTTTGTAGTCCTAGGGTCCTTATAAAGTTACCCAATACCAAAAAGGGAGCCCTTTTTATTCCTAGGTTACTGGCATCCTAGTTGCACGTCTACACCTGAAAACCCAAAGCTCTTGCTATAAAGGTCTGAAGGGATATTCATAGGGTCGCCCTATCGCTCCTGTTTATCAAAGGGTAAAAGGAGGGACCCTTAATGGGGACCCCTACCCTGTAATGCGCTATATAATGGGTATATAATAGCTATA